CTGGTGCTCTGCAGGGCGGTGGGAGGAAAGCGTGTGCTCTGAGGGGCGGGGCGGGGAATGGCCAGGCATTGGGGTGGGCGGCTGTTTGGTCGGCTAGGGCGGAGCGGGGGGGATAGAACGTGCTGCAGGAGCAGCTGGGATCCTCTCTGCCCCTGAGCTGCAATGGGAAGCTCCGAGGAGCTGCCCCCAGCCTGGGAAAGGAGAATAATCCAGATTGCCCGAGGCAACCAGCGCCTCTTCCCGATGGGGGCGTGAGCAGCCTGCAGCCTGGGACTGCGGCTCCCGGGCGGGGCTGGCACTGGTGGGCATGGCAGCTCCCGGGGGCGGGCTAGACCAAGCGTGCGTGGACCCTCCCCGACGGTAGGAGGCCAGGGCGAGGTTTGAAGGGAGGGTTCAGGTTTGTTGGGAAGCCAGCACTAGGCCGGATCTGGGACAAGGGGGCCTGGCTCAGCTTGGGGGCCTGTGGATTCCCTTCCATCTGGCTCCCTCAGGCGACTCAGGGATGAGATTGTCTCGTGGAGCCGGGGGGAGAGTCTGCAGCAGCTCCCCCCCCGGGCTCTGAGGCCCCTGGCGGAGAGCAGTGGGCAGTAAGCCAGTCAGGCTGGACAGCACCGAGCTCCCCAGACACCACGGGCAGCCCTGCGTGGGCTGGCTGCGTGCCGCAGTGGGATCGGCTGCCCCGCGTGTCTGGGGCAGTGCGAAGCAGACCACGGACACCTGCAGACTGGGGCAGCGCTGCTGTGTGTGTGCTGCCAGTGCCAGGTAGCCCGGCGGGGCGGGGCGAGGGTCTCTGACTGCGAACAGAGAACGGAACCCTTCCCATGGGGCCGGGCCAGCGACCCCCACCCAGCTTTGAGCTCTCTGTCCCCATCTTCCTGGCCTAAAACCCTCCCTCCCCCTTTGGCTTGACCCCAGACACCCAGCTGAGTTGTGTGTCTCATCTTAGCAGATGCCTGCTTTGGAGTAGAGGCCAATGCCACTGGCTGTTCCCCCCCAGGCCTTACAACGGGGGGGGGGGCCTTCAATTGCCAGCAGGCACAGCAGAGGTTGGTAGGGTCGGTCCCCAGCTGAACGCTGCAGTGGACACGGGGCTGGTAGAATCTCTCTCTCTCTCTTACTTATTTCAGGAATCATAAAACAAGACCCCAAACTCCTGGAAGACAAAATTTTACCCCCTCCTTCTCCGAGACCTGGGGATTCTATTTTTGATATTGATGAAGAGAAATCCAAGGTAAATCTCTCTCTCCTGGCCAGGGTCGGTCCCCAGCTGAACGCTGCAGTGGACACGGGGCTGGTAGAATCTCTCTCTCTCTCTTACTTATTTCAGGAATCATAAAACAAGACCCCAAACTCCTGGAAGACAAAATTTTACCCCCTCCTTCTCCGAGACCTGGGGATTCTATTTTTGATATTGATGAAGAGAAATCCAAGGTAAATCTCTCTCTCCTGGCCAGGGGGGTGTGCATATGGTCAGTAGCATCCTGGGCCTTTGGAGTTCCAGAGAGAAGATCTCCTGAGCAATGCTAAGGCTTAGCACGTTTCCTCCTGCCCAAAGGCTGTCCGATAATTCTCTGCCCCCCCTTAGCCAGGGAGGTATCAGGATCTCTGTTTGGAGATAGGGAAACAGAGGCACAAAGGGCGAAGCAACGTGCCCTACGCCAGAACTAGGATTTCTTTTTCTGTTTCTCACCTGTTTTCCTTAAAATCGTAAGAACCAAAGGTCCACCCAGCCGAGGTCCTGTCTGCCCACGGTGGTCAGGGCCAGATACCCCAGAGGGAGGGAACAGAGCAGGGAATCCTCACGTGATCCCTCCCCCGTGGCCCATTCCCAGCCTCTGACACACAGAGGCCAGGGACACCCTCCGGCTTTTAGCGCAGGAACAGCCGTTCTTGTGCAAAAGCTTGCGACGCGTCGGAACAGAGGGCTTCTCGCGCAAGAGGGATTCCTCTCCCCACGAGCTCTTGCGCAAGAGGCCAGTGTGGACGGGCAACAGGGGTTTCTTGTGCAAGAAAGCGTCCACACTGCAGATGCTCTTGTGCAAAAGCACATGGCTGTGTGGACACGCTCTTGTGCAAGAGCTTTTGCACAAGAACTCTTGCACAAAACAGTTCTTGCGCAAAAAGCCTGCAGTGTAGACGTAGCCTCCCTGCCCAGCCTGGCTAGTAGCCAGTGATGGACCTGTCCTCCCTGAGTGTAGCTGTCTCTTTTGTGAACGCTGTTGTACCCTTGGCCTTCACAATGTCCTGTGGCAGGGAGTTCCCCAGACTGTGGGCGTGTGAAGAAATGCTTCCCTTCCTCTGATTTAACCCTTATGACCTGCTGACCTCCGTTTGCTTCCCCGCTGATGTGTGCAGGCAGCAGCACGAGCTCAGTGGGGCGGCAGCCGTGCGACCCTGCTCAGACCGTGAGACTCGAGTCTGCGCGTCTGTAGGGCTGTCGCCCAGCTCTGGCTGGAGGGCCCCGCGCACGTCTGCACTGATTGGGTGGGTGGCTGCACCGGATTTAACCCTTATGACCTGCTGACCTCCGTTTGCTTCCCCGCTGATGTGTGCAGGCAGCAGCACGAGCTCAGTGGGGCGGCAGCCGTGCGACCCTGCTCAGACCGTGAGACTCGAGTCTGCGCGTCTGTAGGGCTGTCGCCCAGCTCTGGCTGGAGGGCCCCGCGCACGTCTGCACTGATTGGGTGGGTGGCTGCACCGTGGTGCCCTGGGGCTGTCGCTCACGCTGCCTCCGCTCCCCCGCTCTTAGAGA